TAGGTCCTTGGCTGGGGGGAGAGGGTGCGTTGCCATTGAGGGGCCGCGGTGTTAGGTCATTGATAGAGCAACCATACCTACGAGCATCATGGTCGCGCCCATGACCAAGCATGCTGGATGGCTGCACTTGTGGTATCTAGTGAGTTGGCACTTTTACGCTTACGATGGTTTAGACTGCGGCCACGATGGTACATTTATTTAAGTCTTCAGTGTGCTGAAAAAGTCAAATTTTGAGATATTTTCTCTCTTCTCTCTCTCTCTCTCTCTCTCTCTCTCTCTCTCTCTCTTTCTTGTCTGCCATGGCCAAGCTTCCAAGCTCTTTGGCCATAGATTTCATCTAGTTTAAGTGGTTTTTGGACCCTAGTTCCATATACCAAAATGTAGAGGGTCGTGAGGGCTCCAATTTAATCTGAGTGAATCGTCGTTCCGTCACCGTTGACTTTTCAGCTTTTCTCTTTTTCGCTTCAAGAGGTAAGGATTCTTGAGCATTTTTTCAATACTTTGCTATAGATAGATTTGTAGTAATTTTGTAGCATAAAAAAACTTATATTTTATAGGTGATTTTGTGAAAATCATATGGGTTGGTTTGGGGTTTGAGTTCATAAGATAATGTGTGAGTTGGTGGTTGATTATGGGTTGTCAATGATGTTTGGGATAAAAAGTTATGAAGTATGAGCTTCAAACCAAAGAATTTGAGAAAAGATAACGTGATTTGTGTAGTGTAATATTAGGTTATGTTCAATACAATTAAAATGAGGTTTTTGATAAACAACAATGGGTATTGATGAATTGAGCTTGTTGGGGGTTTGGAGGTTTGAAAATTAGTTTTTAAAACAAATAGATATTTTGTTAATTCTTTATTAAATTATGGAACTAGAATTCGGTTTATATTGTTCTTGTTGTTGTTAAGTAGTCGGTGTCTTAGAGTTTGGTCCTTGGCCATCAGGGGATGATGGCATTGAATGTTGCTACATAAATGTTATTAGTACTATTGTAGGGTGGGCTATGTGATGTAGGGTGACATGTTGGTTGTGAATGGACATTGTGAATAGACAATTTCATTGTGTGTTATCGTGAATTATGTTGCTCAAAAGGAATTAGAAAGACTGTGAATGTTGTTCAAATTATGAGATTGTCATTGGATAGATGTTTTGAGTAAATGGTAGCCTTTAACTAGTTGTTGATTGATGATTGGTAGCTTGAATGGTGTTTTGGAAACGTTTGGAAATAAAGGAAACCCTGTTGTTGAATGGTGGTGTGTAGAGTACATTTTGAAAGAAAGGGGTTAATGTGTTTAACTGTTAATAGTGTGGTAATGGACATTGGACTAAGTATATGTATTACATTCGTGTATTTTTTTTTGTAGTTTAACATGTTGTGCTTTTATTGTGATGTTGTTTATAACAATTCCAATTTAGACCCGACCCGTTTATTGTTTTGAATCTGGGATTCCTTGTCTTATTTGGTTGTTCATATCCTTATTCATTTTATTCTTGATTGAGTTTGGTTGTTTGGTTGTCTTTGTTGCATTTGGAACAAATCGGGAGCTTGTTTTTCAATAGAACTGTTACCTAGATTTTGGATACTTAGCTCGAGCGGGCCTTTGGTTGCTCAAGTAGTTTTTGAGAACTTCTAGCATGTTTGCAGGTCTGCAAAAGTACTAGGAGGATTTTTTTTCGCTCGAGTGGTGTATCTTACACTCGAACGGTCTTAGCTCGAGTGATCTTTCTTGCATTCGAGCGGTTAGCCTTTGTTTGCAAAAGTATTGGGACGTGGTGTTATTTGCTCGAGCGGTCACTTTGTTCGCTTAAGCAGTGTTTTGGTCGCTCGAGCGGTCTACGCGTATATCAGTTCGTAACAGCTACATTTTGAGTCACTTTTTAATATCTTTCTATCTGTCTCTCTCTCTTTCTCTAAATATTTCAAAACCCTAAATCTAGATCTTCTCTCTCTGAAACTCATCTTCAACCTCTAAATACTCTCAATCCATTGATCTCTACACCCTAGTCCCTTTGATAAAAGGTAGAGCTCACCTAAAGCTTCATTTTAATCGAAACAAAGTTGATTTTCGGCTTCGTCGAGATTTATCCACTCTCTCCCTTGTCTTCTAGCTTTGAGGTAGGGATTTTTCCAAACTTTTGTATAGTTTTTTAACTTGGTTATTTGATTTTCTAAATAACATTGTGATTTGGGAATTTTTGGATAAACCTAGGGTTTTGATTTTGAAATCAAAAGACGAGTTAACAAAATGGTTTCTTGGAAATGATTTTGGGTTTGCAAATGTGGTTGAGTGATGATAAAATGGTGGATTTTTATCCTTGGAATTGATTTTTTTAAAAAATTGGGAGGGGATTTTGCCCTAAAATGTGAATACTTGATTTTGTAAAGAGGAAATGGAAATGATGTTAGGTTTTATGGAATTGGAATAATGACAATAATGGTGGAGTTGGATATGCATTATCACTCCCATCTTGAAATTTTGGAAAGTTTATCTTTATTGAAAATTATTTATCTGTTTAGAGATATCGGTGAAGGATAACTATCATTGTTGTAGAAATTGCATGAGAATTAGGAGAATTGAAACTAATTTCTCATCCATTTGCATTGAGCATTGTTGCATACTTGGCACATTGAAAATATATATTGTTTTGAGAAAAAAAAAGAAAAAAATGTGAATATCTTAGTAAATCTGGATAGGGGGTGTGGTTGGGGTATTATGTTGGCTTGTGTGTCGTTGGTGAAAGTCCAAAAACCCACACGGTTAGATGCCAAGCCTTCCGGTTAGTACCAATTGGTAGTGTTTGTATAGCCTGCTTGCAGACACGTACCTAGAGATTCTCAATGTTGTATCCACTGCCCTATTTTCTATTGTAAAGGAAATGATTTCATGAATTGTGATATAAACCTAGTATTGCATGGTTTTAGAAAGAGATATAAAATGTTTTGGCACGAGCATTGCATATGCATTCACTTTATAGCTTTGCTAAAATTCATACACTGTGCTAGAGTATCTCTATTGGGTTTTGCCTCACCCTATGTAAAAAACTATTTTCAAGTGCTGATGATATGCCTCTACCAAGGCCGTAGCTTGGGAGGACTTAGAGCCAAGAGCTTGCTTTTGTTATTGTTGTAATTATTTTGTACAAGCTTAGAACTTTATTTGTTTGAGTTTAAACTCACTTTTGTTGTAACCAAACATCATCTTGAAAAGTTGTAGCCATTAGGGTATTTATATATCTGTTTAACTTTTATTTCATATTATTAACTTGTGACACATGCTATAGATTCAGGGTTAGAACTTATGAATGTATAGTTGTATGTGTTAACCTTTTGTACAATGGAATCATATGAATGAAACGATACTATATTCAGAATTGTATTGTTATTTAATAATTATCGTGGGATGAATAATGGTTATTGTTTTCGGGGTGTTACAACTTGGTATCAGAGCTACTGGGTTTGAATACTTTGGGATCGTGGAATGTGATTTTTACCACAATGGGTTATCTCGCTAGTTGTATTAGAAATAAACCTAATATGCTATGTGATAACATGCTTTTGTGACTAGAGGAGTATGTGATTTAATTTCTAAGATATTTATACTTTGTTGGGTCAAGAGAATGTTTTCGGGAAAACATATTTATATGAGTAGACTTTTGGATATTAACTGTCACATTACTTATATGGTATATCGTGACGCATACATGATCATTTTCTAGCTATATGTTATGATTGGTTAGGATCTTTAGGATCTCTACTGGGCTTAGTTTGCATCCCACGTATTGATAGATTTTGCACGTACATAGCTGGATGATTTTTTAGGGCTTGAAGTCTTTCAATTTGTTGGTCGCGGGGCCTTTTTTATCTGTTGTCCGAGTGCCATTTACTGTATAAGGGTCGATCCCTTAATTTATTTAAATTCAATGTAAGCCTAAGAGTATTGTATCATATTTTATTTACTTATCATTATCATTGTCGTGAGAGAATGTTATTATTAATTCTTGTTCATATTCTTGAATGGATAGAATTATTGGAAATGATAATAATATAGAGGATTTGGTAATAGATTCGTATATTAAAATTCAGAGCGTAACAAGAACTAATAGTATAATTATAAATATTTTTTTATATTTCAAAATTAAAAAAAATCAAAAAATTAGATAGAACTTTGAACATCAAAATTTTACTTATATAATAGTATAAATTAGAGTTATTTTTTAAAATGTTTGATTATCTAATTTGACATACTAATTATGTTCATATTCATAAATTATAATATTATCCAATGAACTGATTAGCAAAGAGAAAACACCTCTCCTCTACACCTAAACAGCAAGGAGAAACCTTTAGGCCTAGGTTTGTTTCCAATTATAATTGGATTAGACGGTATTATTAGGCTTTTGTGTGTCTATTACGAAGTCTAAATTAATAATTCGAACAATTTAATATATAAAACTCGTCGAAAATTTCATTCTTGTAATAAATTATGTTGATTGGATATCGATAGTCATTTGATTAATTCATATTTTTGTCAATAATAAATATGATTAAAAAAAATTTATTAATAAAAATATGATCTGATCAAGCGACTATTAATATTCGATCAATATGATTTATTGTAAGATCAAAATAATCTATAAATTTTACACATTAAATAATTTAAATTATCAAAACAAATCCTAAATAAACCAGACTAAACAGTCCAGTTAATATATCCAACTAGAGACAACCCAGTCCCAAAGCATTAAACTCACATGACTTGCCTAACGAACCAGCCTCATGAGTTGTAGCATTTTTCTATGCAGTCAAACAACTCCCCCGTCCACCTAAGCAACAACAGTCATGAAACTCACATGACTTTTCTCAATACCCAAACATGGCTTAAGATAGTTTTCATTTTCCTTGCAACCAAACATCCCCTATAGACCTACGCAACATCCCTGACTTTCCAAACACCATTCAAACCCTCCCCACCTATATAAGTAGCAAAACCCTCCCAAACGCAAATCTAATTCACACCTTCAATTTCCATCCTCACAATTCACATACAGCGAGAGAAAGAAAGGGGAAAGAGAGAGATTGGAGAATAGAAACAAGTTCATCAACAATAACAAAAACAACAACGTAAACAAAGTGAAAACCAAAAATAAACAAAATAAAAACAAAAAAACTGACATATAAATATAAATCAAAACCCTTTCTCCAATCCTCTGCATCAAATCCCATCTTAGATCTATCCAGGAATCCAATCAATGGGCGACGTGTACTGCTCGGATTGCAAGCGAGCGACGGAGGTGGTGTTCGATCATTCCGCCGGAGACACGGTGTGCTCGGAGTGCGGTCTTGTGTTGGAATCGCACTCGATCGATGAGACCTCCGAGTGGAGGACCTTTGCCAATGAGTCCGGCGATAACGACCCGGTTCGTGTTGGTGGTCCCACCAACCCACTTCTCACCGACGGAGGCCTCTCCACCGTCATTTCGAAGCCTAACGGCGTCACCTCCGACTTCCTCTCCTCCTCCCTCGGCCGCTGGCAAAATCGCGGCTCCAACCCCGATCGATCCCTCATCTTAGCCTTCAAGACCATTGCGACCATGTCCGATAGGTATGGACCTGTTTGGTTTCTGAGAAAATGTGGTAAAAAAGCAAAGGAAAGAAAGATAAGTCACAAGTTTGGATCTTGGACTTATTCCTCGTTTTGTTTTGTGACACGAAAAAAAAAAAAAAAACTCGTTTTGGCTTGTTTTTGTTTTGTTTTAAAGTCGAAGTTTCTTTCTTTCTGTTTTTTTTTTTTGGAGGAGAGTTGGTAAAAAAAAAAAAAAAAAAACTCCTTTTGGTTTGTTTTTGTTTTGTTTTAAAATCGAAGTTTCTTTCTTTCTGTTTGTTTTTGGAGGAAATTTGAGGGATTAAATGGGATGCACTTTTCTATTCTGTTTTCTTGGCAACCAAACATAGGGTAGTGATTAGTGAATATCTGAATTTTATGATGATTTGCTTGTTCTATTTTTTGTTTAATCTGATTTGTACCATATTTCTTATGTACTTGCACTGATTGGAATGCAGAGATATTATGTGGAAACCAGTAAATGTAGTTTCCAGCTATGTATAAGAATTGTCATAGAGAGATGAATGAGTATTCCTCTGGTTGATTGGACAATGGTCTAAATTCTGATTTATTGTTGATGATCTTTAATAAGTATCAGTCGTTGAACAATAAATCATTCCTAGGCTAGAGTGTATACTTCTTCATTGCAGAGAACTTAAAACCCATTGTTAATTTAGCAACTTTCCAAACCAAAATGCAGACATTGCTAGTGCCAACAAACCCGTTATAACCAACAAAGCCTTAGGATTAAGGAAATTGGCTAGTTGTCATTGTCACAATACCTTCCTATGAAGGAAGAAATTGGCTAGTTTCTATGTAGTCTTAATCCTGTCAAAATTTGGATCCACCAAGCCGCATAGATCACACACTTTCCAGAAATTACATATGGCTAACTGGTGCAGATAACTATTGAGGGTGAGGCATTTGAATGCATATTCTATGCACTCTTCTAGACTATAGGCAGGCCCAATGATCAAGGCGCATACAAGCCACCAAATTGAGTGGAACTGGAATACATAGTCGGTAACATGGTCAAGTTTTAAGAACTGCAACTGTAAAAGCACATTATAGGCATACCATTTAAGTTTGTTTGTTACACCCTAGTTTATGTTTTGCTTGAAGTTAATTATAGAAAGTGGTGATCCTGCAAGGTTGAATTTGTTCATGAGCCAATAGAAAAGTTTCATGATTGATATATGATGGATGAAACTCTCAGTCATGCTAAATGGTGCAGTTAAATATATGTTCACATTTTGCTTGAAGCATAAATGGTGAAGTTGGTATGGATCAATAGGTGATGCCTATAGATACGAGATCCACTTTGGCTGGAGCATGCCTTCTCGTGTCCCTCCCTTATTGGTGTCTAATTTTAGTGCCTTTTAACTCGTCAGGAAGATTTTACACATTTGCTGCATCACTGAAGTGGTATCATGACGTTGGGATATGACCATCGTTATCAGAATCCCGATACGGATCTTACGATCTATTTGAGTACAATTGATCCAGATTGTGTAAAAATTTTCTTATAGGTAGGATCTTTCGATCCTAGTAATGGGATCTTATAGGATCGTGGAATTCCGATCCGAATCCGATCCAATTTACAAATCTTGTTTTTGTATTGTATGACATATTTTATTGTAAATTTTATGTTTGTTGTCTAAATATCAATTTATGTGGTCAAAATAAATAATAAAAATTAAGTAGCATTCGATCAAATAGATTAAGAAAAACAAACTAGGAAACAAACATTCAAATATTGCGGTAATTTAAGAAAATTAACTAGTCGGAAAAACAAACTTAGTTTTAGGGAAGTCTAAGGAGGGTAAGATGATTGCAACTTTATCCCAATTTTTGGAGAAATTATTTTTGTGACTTGAATCCGCTTCACCAGGGATGCTAACGATAAACCTTATCATCCGGTTAAGCTGCTCTTTTGAGTTCTTAATCTATTTTCATATTCAACTTTGTTAAATATTTTTTCTTCACTTTTTATGCATTATTGTAGATTGTAAAGTATTTTGTTATAGAATTCTTCTTCTTCACCTTCTTTTTTGATGAAATATAAAACTTTTACCATCGAGTTTTCTATTGTATAATATTATATGTATATTTTACATAGAGTATTATATTTTTCACAATATCTTCACCTCTTTTTAATAGAATCTAGGCTCATTTTGTTTATACTTTATAAGAAATATTTATTTAAATTAAATTATTATGTAATTTGTCTTTTTCGGTAGGATCTTACGATCCTCCATCCGATTCTACGATCCGATCCTATAAACACCTCTAACAATCCAATATAGGATCTCGATTTTAACAACCTTGGAAATGACCACCTAAGGCGCATTATCAAATAGTTCGTTTTAATTTTTATAACCTGAAGTACTGTTGGATGATTTCTTTATTCTTCTTCTTATTTTTTATTTTATTTTATTTTATTTTTTTCAATAAATGTTGAATGACATTCAGTATAATTTTTTTGGATAATATAAGAGTAAATAAAGTAATTAGATATAATTTGTTTTCTTTCCTAGTAAAAGAAACATTTGTCCTATACCAATGGTTGGCTCTTCTTGGAAGGGTGTGGAAGTGCCTTGAAGAGTTGATCCAAGTTCTATACTCTTTAGGTATAGGCGTAGCGGTAGCACCAAATATGGACCATGGACGTGATGCATCTTCTAGATACATAGACACAACAAGATAGAAAAGTAGGGCACTATGATGGCATGATTATGTTTATCTTTTATATGCATAAACAATATTTTTTGTATGAACATAATAGTATAGAAGATGAAAGCTTATGAAAAATACATAATTATATCATGCATGGTATGATTCCAAGGATATTGGGAGCTAGGGTTGAGCCTGCTTTCTTCACTCTGCAAATGAGAGAGAATGTCTACTACTCTCATATTTCTTTGCTTTTTTATTTTTTATTTTTATACTCTTTCCTTGCATTAAATTGCATCTGTCATGCATTCACTTTTGTGTGTGTGTGTGTGTGACTATTTTCTCATGTGACATGTCTTTGGTTGGTCGAGTATATGCATTTGATATATATCCAATATGGAAACAACACCTGTAACAAAATGCCACTTAGCCTTCTAGCATCTTAAATTGGCTGAGATTGAGTTGACTTTGGCCAAATGAACTTAGAATTGATGAGGGCCAATACAATTCCACATCCTTGCATGAACAAAGAATAATATTTCAATGGATAATGGCTCGGATTGGCCAAATCTATCATATCTGAAAAGACTCTAGGCGTATCAACTCATTCTCATTGAGTCGTTTTGATGCATACATTTTGCTCTCTCTCTCTCTCTCTCTCTATATATATATATATATATATATTTATATTATAAAATAATTATATTATAGGCATATCCATCTATGCATCTCTATGTTTTTTTTTATTGTTATTTATTTGCTTTAGATCCCTTTTAAATGCCCACTTATTAGCTTTAACTGGTTTCAATATGGGTGCAGGTCCATTCCTTTTAAAAATTATTAAAAAGGGGTTAAAGATTATATAGTATAGTGTACCTTGTGGAGAGTCATCTGGCATTTAGATCTCAATCTTAATATCATATGGTTTGTTTTGTGAAACACATAGGTTAAATTCTATCAGATGTTGGTATTCACACAAATCATTAAAGAGATACCAAGGATGATGGGTCTCAATCGTATACCCTATGCGTATAAATTTATCAATAGATAAATGTAAATCCTATGAAAGAAAGTATTTAGATGAAATAAATTGATAGTTGTTAGATTTTCACCATTGGTTTCAATCATATGGATGAAGATTCATAATTAATTTGGAGAAAACCCAACTTGGTAGTGTGGATATACCTCGTAGCATATCTTAAAGAAACTATGGGCTTGTTTGGTTTGTTTTTGGGAGAATTGTTTTTGAAATTTTTTTATAAAACTTTGTTTGGTTTGTGATTTTTCTCAAAAAGTTTCCAAAATCACTTTCTTTCTCTTACACATTAATCAATTAACTTTTTTCTCTTCTCTCTCATTCATAATCACTTTTTCTCTCACACAACTACTCAATTACAACGAAATATCAAATCATCCAAACCTCCAAAACTTCAAAACTACTTTCAAAATAACCAAACAAACCAAAAAAATTTCTAAACTCTCTCCCCAACATTTTTTTTTGAAAATCACTCTCAAAAACAAACCAAACACACCATATGTTCTTCTGATACTTTATTCTAATTTTTTCTTGTAAGTGTTTCACTTCTCTCTTATTTCTTTCTTTTTCTTGTCCTTTCTCGTAGATTCTCATATTGATATTTGAAATTTACAATCATAAAGCTAATTTTGCACTTTTGTCTCTCAGGTTGGGCTTGGTTGCAACGATAAAGGTATGTTATTTATTGTCCATTATCATATTTTGTTATGCGACAATAGAGAACTCTGTGTGCATGATGTTATCAAAGGCACGTGCCTAGGCACTAGGCACATTGGTCCCATTTGGTAAAGCTGTTAAAACAGATTATAGATTATAGTTTAACAAATTATAGATTATGACTTTAATTAGAAGCTATTAATCTGTTTGGTGTAACTGTTGGATTATAGATTTAAGTTGCTGAGTAGTGTTTGTTAAATAAGCTGTGAAGTAGCTTTTTCAATTAACTTTTATTTTTTGTTATTCACTACTTGTCTACATTTCTCATACAAAATAATAATAATATTTTATAATCCATTTGTGTCTTTTTCTATTTTAAAAAAAAAATAAAAAATAAGAAAATTTAAGAGTATAACCGGAAATTAATATGTTCGCAGCAGAAGCTGATAATCAAAAGTAAGGGGTGGACAGCTTTTCAGAATAAGCTTTTTTGATTTAAAATAAGTTGTTAGAATCATAAGCTGTTTGAAATAAATTTAACCAAACAGTCCAAAATAACTTTTCAAGAGCCAGAAGTCATAAGTTGACTCAAAAAAGCCCAAACAAACACCCCCATTGAGGTGCTCTTGAGATGCCTTAATACCCTTGAGACAAGGCAAATTTAACGAATTGTAGCTGGGGTGCACCAAGGCGCAAAAAGGCACCTACCCTTTTTAATTGTGCCTAATTTGTTAAGATGCGATAACAACCTTCACTGCCCCCTAAAAATTAAATAGTCTTAAACCTAGACAACAAATTGAAGATAAACATCTATTTTTTTTCTTTTTTTTAGTTTAATGCCTTTTTATTGTACTTAAATAGCCTTTTTTAATTGTTTAATTTGAATTTATTTCATTTGAAATTGTTGATGTGGTGTATTAAGCACAATCTAATGTACTGTGTGGTAGTAATCTTATACAATGTTTCATTAATTAGTAGTGCTTGATAGATAAAATGAACTATAAATTTTTAGTACTCAAAAACAACTATGCAATATCTATAAATGCACTTTGCTTCGATGAAGCTCACTCCTCACTCCTCATGCCTCAGGCCTCACGCCTGGGCCTCTTGGTGACCCGGTGTGCCTCTCGCCTAAAATAACATGGTGTGCACGTGTGTGCAATTACGGAGATGCGAACTTCACTGAAAGAATTACCTTCTGTTCTGTACAATGATGCAGCCTAGCCTTGTCTTGATTTGTTTTTAGTCAATTTGAGAGTTGATTTTTATACATCTTTATTTTTTTTTTAATCATCACCCCTAAAGTAGATACAAGTACCATACATAATTTAGCAAGATGACTTTGCTAATTAGTTCAAGAGATGTGACCTTGCGGCCATAGCCTCAATGAATTGTGAGATCAACAGTAGATGAAGTTCGTAAGCTGAGCATGTGGTTACCTAAGTGGAGTGCTTGGTTGTCTGTGCATTTGACATACATTGGTTTGTCATTGTATGTTGAATGGACTACCTAGAATATCTTAGATAAGAACTGAGTTAATACAAACCTATCTGTATTAGAAGGCTGGTGGAGAAGGCAGTTGAAGTTTTGTCCATATCAATAGACCTCTTTTGAATGCCCCTTTATCTTATGATCTAACAATTGATGGTTATGCCACTTTGTCCAAAATTCAGATCTGATTATTTGCAACTTGAGGGTTACCCAACATATTTGCCTACGGTTAGAGTCTTCATGACCCACCTCTTTTGAGCAAAATTTTGAACCACTCTTGTCTCATCATTTTATAAATGGAAAAAGAAGAGCTTCCAGTGCATAATCCTATTAGATAAACTATTATGGTTATCTGAATTTAAAACAAGTTTGTTGCTTCATTTTATGAAACTTCTTGAATGTTTCACAGAACAAAGTAATTGGATTGAAATGGAATGTTTATAAATTATAATAGTAAAATCTATCACATGGTTTGTGATCTACTAAAACTGGTCCAATAAGACGCTTCTTTTTTATTTGATAAATAAATTAGTACTTGAACTTAGTGTATGTGAGTGATATGCATAGCTTTGTTGGTTAACTAAATGCATTGAGCAAAATATTGTTAATGTTTAGACTAGCACTAGATTGACAATTTCATGACTTGTATGTGCAACCTTAGGAAAAACCTGTTTCACTACCATGAGGAGAGCACATTAGACTGCATACATTACATTGGAAGCTTGAAGTATTATGGTAGATCTTCATCCGCATCGAAGCACTGCTATGGAAGAAATTTGTCGATATAAAGAAATGTTTGGACAAGGTGAAGACCAAGTTTGGTCAAACAGGGGCTACATAAGCCTAAGTTTTTCAGCTTGATAGACCAAACTGTAGAGCATGGTCGACTATAGGAAAGTCCAGAGAATAGTTTCAGAAACTTCCAGAGTTTGGTTGGCCATCTTGATGGATTTGATGGCCTGTAGTGGAATTCTTGAGAAGTCAATCATCTTGGTGGATGTGGTTGACCGTGATAGCTTGTGGTTGATCACTCCTGGCAATTATTATTATTATTATTATTTGTATTTTTTTTTTTAAAAAAAAGCTCTTAACTAATCTATTACTAGGCTATGGCTAATATATACCAAATGCCACCATTTGGTATGACTTGATGAGAAAAAAAGTTCTTAGTGTGCTTGTGTACTCTTTGGTTACATTTGATAACCACACTAAAGTGTTGGGGGATAGGATTATCTGCTGCATTATATCCAAGCCAGCTTGGGATTGGATTGTCTTTGTTATTGAATTTGGTCCAATCTAGTGTTTGAGTGGAGAACAGATAATACTATTTGGCAGAAGATAATGAGCCCTCATCCTTTGTTTGTTTTTCAGTACTATTGAATGGGCTAAAGTGACAAATGACATTGTTAACCCCCTTTTGGTCCAATCCCTATAATGCCCTCATGCATATATGCCCAAGAGATGCAGAATATAGTGACACGTTTGTTGAATGAAGCCCTAAAATTTTTGTCTCATTAAATTTTTTTGAAGACCTCTCAAAGGTGGGTTGACTGAAAAAGAAAAGTATTCCTCTAGCTTGTTTATATTACTGACCCTGGTTTGCTAAAACACATTTCTTGGCTAATTTATTTTTTAGCTCTTATTTGGTGATTGGTCCAAATAATTTCGTGGATGTTAATGGAAGAATATTATTATGAAGAAGAGCCATGATGATCTGTTAATAGCTTCAAAGGCTAGATCTTGAAGGAGAAGAGTAGGAGTTAATAAAATCAGGAAGAAGAGCCAGTAGTAGGAGATAGAAAGAAAATGAGAGATGAATGTAGTTTGTTTGCCAAAAGAAAGAATTTACCAGTGTTTAAGTGTGTATAAAGCTCATCAAATATGGTCAACGGTGTCAGAAAATGCCTTGTTGTAGATCACCTTAGCTTCGGTCATTGGTGAAAACAAAGTTAGAGGGATGGATCAGGTTACGTATGCCTTGTCATAGTAGGGTTTGCAAGCATTGGCGGGGTAGTAACATAAAATGCAAGTTCTTATCCCAAGACCCATTTAATACTCCTCTTTAAATCCCACCCAACCCACCTACTGGGATACATTAATCCCATGAATAGGTTACAAAAAATTTTGGGTTCGATTCTCTAAAGGGTGCCTGGACTACATCAAACGACACCACCCCAGACTATTTTGAAATAGTCCAATCCCAAGGCCCACAATTCCCTATAAAATGTGCCCGTTCTACTCTCTAGATCATGTCTGAAAGATGATTACATTCTTGTGTGAGTGGGACTGAGCTTGAGTTGCTTGCCTGTCATCTTTGCATAGAGAGCTTATTCCATTTGGAGCCTTGGATTTCTCATTGTGGAGTTATAATTTCTCGTCTTAGTGATATACTTTCTTGTATACACTATTGCCATCACGCACGTACACTTTAGTTTCACATATACACTTGGGAGCTCTAGGCAAGCTACTTTATTGAAGTGTTTATAGGATTATGTTTTGGTGGTTATTGGTTTTGTGTATAGAGAAGAAAACCCTATTAGATATGTGTTGATTGTTGTAAAGATTGAAGGTGTTCCATGGGAAAATCTCTTGGAGTTGTAAAGGTTTTGGGTAAACCTAAAGAAAACCCATATGCTATGGTGGATTACGCCGGCAACGGAGGCTGAAAATGGATGTTGGCACAATGGGTGTGCCGATCGACTATAAGTGTCTGTGTTCATCCTTTTACATTACTTGCACTTTATTTTATATGTTTTGAATGTATGAGTATGAGATTAATGCATGATTAAATTGATCAATCTTGACTTAATGATTATTTAAATATGATCGATTAGAAAAGACACAAAAAGAACATAGTAGTGAATGCTTTAAGGGATACTAATTTGCAATTAATTGTCACTAAGCGACTGATTAAAGAACTGTGAAACTTGTACGTCCATTGCAAAAGAACTGCATAAATAAACCATTATAACCCATAACAGCTAATTTGGGGATAAGGACTTAAAAAGACGAAGGGAAGTCTAAAATTTAAACTGTCCCCATAATGCCCATTCTAGGACACTTTCATAGGACAATTGAACTTACCCATAACAAAAGAGAATATGCACGAAAATCGAATCATATTTATGTCGAAGATTTAATTTGCATGCAATTTAAATTTCTTTTATTTTGAAGTTTTGGTAGGTATTACTAGTGCTGTAAATTTGGGAATTTAAGTTAGTTGGAAATGAGTTCTATGTAAGTGGGGTTTTTGGAATTGTGCACCTCTTAAAGTTGTTTGCACGGGTTATTTCTTTCCATAATATTCAATTGGGAGTTGGGATTGGCTCAACATGTGATTTATATGCGGTTTAGTTTAGGGATGGCAATTTGACCTAGACTCGATGGAGGCCCATTCTGCCCTGATCTTATTGGAGTGGTTTTCTCCAATTTTTTCCCCCGCGGGTCGGATGTGGCATTGATTGGTGAATACCCAATCAATTTTGGGGGTGGGTTGGTGAATCCCCCTCGATGGTTTTGTCAAAA